GGGGAAGATACCCAGCAGGGGGATAGCTGGGTCAAATGGGACCTCTAGTCCTAGTTCTTTGAGGTATCTCCATACTGACTTCCACAGTGGTTGCACCAGTCTGTACTCCCACCAACAATGGAGAAGGGTTCCTTTCTCCCCACAACCCCGCCAGCATTTGTTATTGGTTGATTTCTTGATAGCAGCCACTCTTTCTGGGGTGAGGTGGAATCTCAGTGTTGTTTTCATCTGCATCTCTCGAATGACCAGTGATGCTGAACATTTTTTCATATATTTATTTGCTGTTTTTACTTCTTTGTCTGAGAAATGCCTGTTCATTTCAGATGCCCATTTTTGAATTGGGTCTTTGAATTTGGGGGGTCTGATTTTTTTCATTTCTTATATAGTCTAGATAGTAGTCCTTTATCTAAGGAACAGCTGCTAAAATTTCGTTCCCACATTGTAGGTTGTCTGTTAGCTCTGTTGGTGGTTTCTCTTGCAGTGCAGAAGCTAAGCATATATCTTAAAGAACTAGAAAAAGCAGCTAAAAGCAAAGCAAAGAGAAGGGGGAAATAGGAAAGGTGAAATCAATGAAATTGAAAAGCAATAGAGGAAGTTAACTAAATATGAAATCTGGCTCATTTAACAGATCAAGAAAATTGTGTGAAAAATAAGAAAAAAAATTACTAATATCAAAATGAAGGGCTGGGGGTGTAGCTCAGTGGTAGAGTGCTCACCTAGCATGTGCAAAACCCTGGGTTCCATCTCTAGTCCTCAAGAAAAGGAAAAAGAAGACAAAATTAGATGGAGGAAAGCACCATAGAGCCTCCAGGTAATCATGTAATAGTATTTAGTTGAACAACTTAATACCAATAAATTCAGATATCTAGATAAAGTAGAGAAACTCCTTTGAAGAAACAAACTACAAAAGCTCTCCCAAGAAATAGATATCCTTAACAGTCCTATAATTTATCAATATATTTATATAATTTATTAATATAATTATTAATAAATTATATAATAGACTTCGTCATTAAAAACCATTTCAACAAAGAACACTCCAGTCCAATGTACCTTGGCTAGCAAAGTCTGGCATTATTGCTAATAAGGCCAATTTAATGTAAACTTCTCTAGCCTATAGAAGGAAATACGTCCTCATTTTGTGAGATCAGCATTGCCCTGATACCAAAGCTAGACAGGGAAGAGCACAGCCAGAATCTGCCAGAACCATGAATGTGAACATCCTCAGTAAACTGGTACTAATCCAATCCCACAATGGATTGGAACAATGGCACATCATAAATAAGTTAGATTTATCCCAGAAATGAAAGAATGGTTGATTTAACATTTGTTAAAAATCAATGTATTTCACTGTATCAAAACACTACTAAGGCCAGGGATTTAGCTTAGTGGTTCTGCTGCCTGCTTCGCAAGGTCAAAGTCCTGGGTTCAATCCCCAGTCCAAAAGAAACAAAAAAAGACTAGATAAGAAAAGCCATATGAGGTGAAATAGGGGTGTAGATAACTCAGTGTAGAAGGCTTGTGCTTTGGTTCACCCCAGACTTCATCACTCCCTATAGCCCTGGCTT